GAATATATATATATATATATATATATATATATATATATATATATATATATATATATATATATATAAAGTGGTATATATATATATATATATATATATATGTATATAAATATATATATATATATATATATATATTTATATATATATATACATATATATATATATATATATATATATATATATATATATATATATATATATATATATATATATATATATATATACATATATATATGTATATAAATATACATATATATATATATATATATATATATATATATATATATATATATATATATATATATATATATATATATATATATATATATATATATATATATAAACATTTATAAATATTTATACTTTTCAGAATTTTCACCTTAGCTTAACTTAGGAATAGATGAGTCTGAATCAGACTCTTCATGCTATTTCCATTTCTTCAACTTTTGATTACCTTTTTATTCTTTTTTTTTTTCCTTTCATTTTCTTTCATTTTTTCTTATTTCATTTTTCCCTTTCAGCTGCTATTTCTTGTTTCAGTCTTTTCATTTCATTTTTATTTTTTTTCTATTTCATTTTATAAATACAATGGCCAAGTTCCCCAGAGAGTATTCTTTCTTTTGGATTTTTCTTCTGTGGCTTTTTCTTGCCAACACAAGGGGGACAGAATCTCTATTTTTTAATGGAAATGATATACTTGACTGTCCTGTGATTGCAATCCCTTTTTTGCAAAAACTTTAGTTCCTTTTAGGTCAAGACAAAAGGTAGTCTTGTTGCAATTAAATAGCTGCTAGGAGCCCATCAGGACTTGCAAAATATCTTCTTTTTTTTAAGTATTCCTTAACATCTGTAAACCATCGTAAAATACTATTCTGTGTCACTGATGCACAGTAAACTGTTAAGCTTTGGTTGGTATGCTTAGATAAATTTTGATTTCTTCATAAAAATCTGTGGATCCATGTCCTCCCAGAAGGATTGCTAGTAAAAAGATTGTCTCTACTTAGGTCAATCACTAACCGTTGTACTTTCTCTTGAAGTTGTTTTACAATTACAGGGCTTCGTCCTGTAATCCTGCTTTGGTCATTTTTAGAATCCAGTTAGCAATAACTATTTCCTCTTTATAACTTAGGATGGTTTGAGGTCCCATATTTCTTTCAATGATTGACTTGCCTTCCAATTTATATTTTAGGTTAATTCATAGTACACCTACTTTTTAGCTGCTGCCAAGACTGGTGGATTATTATTTCTTACATCTTGGATAGTTTCTTTTATCACCTCTTAGTATTTTTGAAATTGACCTTTTATAGCAGGCATAATGAATCTAAAACAATGCAAACAAAAATTGGATTCAAAAATTGACACATCATTGTTCTAGTATAAAAACAAATATAGTTTGCCATAAAAACACGAATTGTGCATGTTACAATGAGTTAAAATAAACTAAGGAATAACTGAGTAATAGATCATCCCTGGTCAATTACTAAATTATTTAAATTTTCTGATCCAATATATAAACACCCCCATAACTGACTACAGATGGCAGTAAATAGATAATAAATAACTTTTAATTAGTATCAAATATATATATTACCTGTCACAGATAATATATATAGATATATATCTATCATAGTTTTTCAATATACTTTTTTTTAAACACAAGTTTTGTGTTTAAAATAAAGTTTATTGGACAGCATAAAAACTTATTTATAATAAAATAGCAAAAACATTTGTTAAAAAATATAATCTTATTTGTACTAAAAATAGAAAATAAACTTTTTAATTTAATAGTTTAGTAAACTAAAGATTGACAGATCTGTTTTGAAATAAATCTCGTACAGACTTGTTAATCTTTAGTGTACTGAAATATTAAATTTAGATTAAAAAGTTTATTTTCCACTTTTTAGTACAAAATAGGTTACATTTTTTAGCCAATGTTTTTGCTATACTTACAGTATCTAACAATGCAAATTTTTATGTCATAAGTTATGTGTTATTGTTATGAATTATTGTTATTATGGTTGTTGTTATGTCGCAATATTATTATTAAACCATGTTAAGAATTTAAGTGGTAGAATTGTGATTAAGTTCCCTAGTAGCAAGCATATATATATAGATATATATACATATATATATATATATATATATATATATATATATATATATATATATATATATATATATATATATATATATATATATATATATATATATATATATACATATATGTATATATATATATATGTATATATATATATATATATATATATATATATATATATATATATATATATATATATATATATATATATATATATATATATATATATATATATATATATATAAATGAAAAAAAACCATGGAAAAACCATGGTTATTTGGAACATGTTTTAATGGGAAACCCATGAGTTTTCCATGGGAAATCTATAAGTTTCCTATAAGAAACCCATCAGTTTTCAATGAAAACCCATGAGTTTTCCATGGGAAATCTATGAGTTTCCCATGGAAAACCCATGAGTTTTCATGGGAAACCCATGAATTTCCCATGAAAAATCAAACATTTTTCCATGAAAAAGTTTTTCATGGAAAAATGTTCCAAATACCATGGATATTCAATGATTTTTCATCCATGGAAAAACCATGGAATTTCCTTGGTATTAGGAACACCTTTCCAAGGAAAAATTATAATATATATATATATATAAATATATATAAATATATATATATATATATATATATATATATATATATATATATATATATATATATATATATATATATATATATATATATATATATATATATATATATATATATATATATATATATATAGTCATTACTATTATATATATATATATATATATATATATATATATATATATATATATATATATATATATATATATATATATATATATATATATATATAATAGTAATGACTGAGATGTTAAATTTTTGCTTTTGAAACAGTTTTTGATTTTATAAGTTCCTATTTAGTTTTATAATAATTGATATAAGCTGAACTTATATAATTTTGTTTAGCTTGTATGTGAATTTATTTAAATAAAATGAAACTATTAACAACATCAACTTTATGACATGTGCTCAGGGGTATTTTATAACTAGTATAATATGAAATCTCCACCCTTTGACATTTTGTTTACAAAAAGATGATTTTTTTAAGATCAATATAAATTAAATATATTAAGTGCTACTTAAAAAAAAACAATTTTGATATTTTGAATTTGTTTTTGTCTTTCCAATCCATATTTTTTGATTATATAATCATACACTGTATGATTGCATCATATCACTGTAAGAAAAGTTTATTTTAAAAGTTATTTTGTTTTAGCCTAAAAAAGTTCATTTTAAAAAAGAAAAAGTATTTTTATTCTGAGAAAAGTTCTTTAACCTTCTTTTTTAACTTTCTTTTTTAAATAAGAAAAGTTCATTTTAGTCGGTGAAAAGTACATTTGAGGGTTCATTTTAAAATATTTTTTGAATAACTAGTTGTTAATTTCTTTCATCTGACCAGAATAACTGCTGGTCAAGTAAAAGAAAAGGTTATTACAAAGATATTAAATTTTAAATGAAATACTAATTTTGATATATACTAGCTTAAGTTAATTGATTAATTTTAATCTTGAAAACTCTTAATTTAAATTTATTAGGCAATTAATTTTTTAAATGTTACATTACTAAGGAAAAAATGACTGTAAAATCAAAAATTCAAGTGTTTCAAATTGTTATTGAAATTTTTTATGCCCCCTGTACTTTAAACAATTGATCAAATATTTACTTCAACTCAAATTTCTATATATATATATATATATATATATATATATATATATATATATATATATATATATATATATATATATATATATATATATATTTAATTTATATTTGTTAAATTTTATTTATTTATACCACTCTGAAAATGATTATTCAGGGTGACTGTTATTATATCTTACTCTTGGCAGTGGCCTAATATAAATTGCCCAAAAGGAATAGACATGTCACTTTGACATTTTATGAATATGTTAAGAAATTGATAATATGTTAATAATTTTTTCAATTCTCAAAGGATTACTTACTGACTTGGTACCATTTCAGATTCATTTTGGTCAAATCTAATATATATATTTTTGTAAGATGTTGTTCATTAAGGTGATCTTCTAAATATTATTATTATTTTCAATTTCACAATGTTCTTTTTCAATCTTTGGCTAAATTTTTGAGAACTCTATTTTTTTATACAGAACATTTTTTAAAGAAGATAGTGTACTACACTTTTAAATTGTGTATACAATAGATTTGCAAATATAGATTTGTGAGAATTTTTATTAAAATCAATTTATTTAAATTTTTTTTTACAACTGAAAACATACAAATACTTTCTGTAATTTTATACTAAACAAAAAGTTATTTTATTGCTACGCATAATTTTAGGTTATTTTTTTTATTTTTGTTTGTTTGTGGTACGATTTCAATTTTTTTTTTCATATAAAGTTATACTTGAAAAATATTTTTAAACTGTTGTTAAATTTATTAATATTATTTATTATTATAAAAAAATTAAAATAGGGAGTAAGTAGAGGGTCGTAAGGAATTGTTTTGACAGAAAGCTTAGATGATCATGTTGATTTTTTAGGGACTGTCACTTTTTTTTTGCTACTGAACCATGTGTAATACAATATATACATGTATATAAATTTATATAAATTTACTTTCATGAGTTTAAGTTAACACTGTTTAAATATGATTAGGTTTTAACTTGAATAAACAGACTTCAAAGTTAGACTTAAAGTTAAAGTAGACTTAAAGTTTTTTTCTTAACTTTGTTCTTGATAGTTTTTTCAGAAAAGGTAGAATATAGAAAGAAATAATAAAAAATTATTTTTTTAAAAAAAAGTTCTTCTTATCTAGTACCTAAACCCTAACTTTTAGTCAATGTATAAGCTGAAGCTTTTGTAGATAGCTATTTCGGTATAATATCTATTTAGATACAATCATCTCAAGATATATGGTTGTGGTTAGAGGAATTTTTTTTGGTACAAGTCTACCCAGTACCTTGGTATAATTTGAGTGATGCATATGCAAATAAGAATAAGAAAGACTTTCCTGGAAAACTGTTTTTAAATGATCTTACTTCAAAAATTGTGAATGGAATACGAATTCGACAAATTCGCGTGAAGCCTAGTAAGATTTGTCTTATTGATTCTCATTAATATTAATTTATATTCATTATAACATTACGTTTTTTTGTTGTTATTTTTTTTTTAGTTATTTCAAATTTTGTCATTAAAAAAAATAATCTTAAGTTAGTGAAGCGTTACATTTGTGATAAAATAATAGTAATAGTAAAAACACATTTAAAAATTAAATGAAAAAGATGTCACATTTTTAAACTAATCACTTTCTCTGTGTGTTGCATAATGTCTATTGTTGTTGAAACAATGGCGTCTTTTGTTTCAATTGTTAGTTTTTGTTGATTTAATTGGTAATTTATGCGGTAGTGGTGTAGTGGTAGAGCACTTGCCTTAAAAGCAAGAAGTTCCGAGTTTGAATGCCACCACGTTCCTGATAGTACCACGCTCAACTTGTTTCTCTGCGCAGCTGCTTTGTTTGTCAAGGTTTGTATTTAGGAGTTATAGAATTAAGAAAGGGTTGTAACCACAACTAAAGTAGCCTCCTCGACTGTAGTGGCTTTTATTACCTTGAGGAGGTGAATTGAAATATCAAATCAATAAAAATTTAACTTTCATTACTTAATTTCTATAATTATAAAAATTATCGTATAATTTTTAGTTTATTTTTTCTAAAGGAAAAAATGGAACTAGTTTTTGTATGCAAGTTATAACATTTTAAGAATCAATAAGTTTTCCCTGCAAAAATTATTACATTAATTATATTTACATAGCAACATTTATAACGAAATATTTTTCATTGTTTTTATTGTTTACTTAGCCAACTCATCATTTACTTAACCAACTCATCATTTGCTTAACCAACTCATTAAAAAAATGTAGACTAGAAAGTTCAAACTTTCAAATGCTTTTGAAAATATTTTTTTATTTATATTTTAATGAACATTTTTGAAACTACTTTTAATAGCTAATCTCTTTTTTAACTTATATAGATACCTGTATAAAAGCCAACTCTGTTGCTGATTTTACAATAGACTGTTTGTCTCCATATAAAACATCTCTTGAAGAAACAAGAGATTTTGATTTAAATTGGACAATACCAAAACATTATAACTCACCTATATATCCTTCAACTATGCCATGGAGATATCAAACATGGCAAGAACTTGATGGGTATCCATATACAGCAAATTTAGACACTTACTATGGTGGAGGTTATGTTATAGAAATCTATCCTAAATGGAAAAACAAGGCTATACTGGAACAAGTAAAAAAATCAAGATGGATTGATAGACAAACCCGAGCTGTAATAATAGAGTTTGCTTTGTTTAATGCTGCTACCAATTATTTTAGCATGGTCACAATGGCCTTGGAATTTCCTGCCTCTGGTGGAGTTATCCCTAATTTTTCTGTTCTAACATTTAAGTTGTATGCATCAGTAACTGGATCAAAAGTTATATTAGGTTCTTATTTTCTTTTTATTTTAATAACAATTTTGTTTGCCATTCGAGAATGTCGTTATCTTTATCAAACTGGTCCTAAATATTTTCTTGAGTTTTGGAACTTGGTTGAAGTTGCATTGATAAATTTATCAATTATTGCAGTTGTATTTTTTTTTTATAAAGGTATTTAAGTTACGCTTTATTATTTAATTACGTTTTATTAATTAATTATGCTTCACTATTCAATCACATTTTATTATTTAATCACACTTCATTATTTAAAGTTCTTTTATAAATATTTGTATTAACAAACGTTTTTAAACTATTTTGTAAGGGCATTTAGCCAAGATGTTGTTGCAACGGATTCCGCAAAAGAAACCGAATAAGTTTATCAACTTCCAGTTTGCTTCTTACTGGGATCTGGCATATATATACATTGTATCACTCATTGTATTTTTTGTAACTTTAAAGTTCATTAAACTTTTGCGATTCAATTGTCGAATGTTGATGTTATCTTCTACTTTAAAGAATGCATGGTATCCTTTGACTATGTTTGGAATAATATTTTTCATTATATTGTGCTCAGTTGTGTCAACATCTAGCATTGTTTTTGGTATGAATTTTTTTTTTTTTAATAAAGTCTAGTTTATATTACTTAAGTTTACTCATATATCACTGAATACCAGGTTAGTACAATATCGTTCTCTAATGTTGTTGTGAGTTTCTTCCTAATTAGAGTATTCATTGAGGTAGTATAATGGTTGATTGTCTAATTATTTACTACCTCGATGAAGAATTTTTCTTCCAACTCCAAGAAATTCAACAATGATTCAGTAATGTTTTTTAAAAGATACAACTTTACATCTTATAATGGTTTAAAAAGGCTTTCCTGCTAGGGAGCTCAAGAAACATTAAACTTTGAGTTGATGTTTTGTATGGTAAAATGTTTGTTTATAGTTTCATTAATTTGAATTTATTTATTCAGAGTGTTTATAACTATTTATTTGTAGCAATAAATGTTTTTTTTCTATTACTGTTAGTTAATTTAATATTACTTTATCAGATCTTTTAATCAGTATTTTGAGAGTTTATTTGTTACCTTGATTCTGTTGTTGACCATTTTACTATATCATTTGTTTTTTTATATCGCCAGTGTTCAAAATTTTGTTAGATTTAGTCTTGAATCTTTTAAAATCCTTCAGGCACAGTCTTAATGCACAAAAATAATAAATGCAGAATCTTTTATAAAAAATGAAGCAATGTCAGTCTAAAGTAATATATATATATATATATATATATATATATATATATATATATATATATATATATATATATATATATATATATATATATATATATATATATATATATATATATATATGTATGTATGTATATATATTCAAGTTTTTTCTATTCTTTTTAATTTTTTCTATGAGATAATATTTATATAGATTCAGAGAAATATAAAAAACTCTGATATATAGGCACATTTATGTATATAAACTTACCTGTTAAAAATTGCAGTCAGTTTTCCATGTTAAATACATAAAATACATATCTAATAAAAATAAAAAAAAACATTAAACTTACTCAAATCAGTGACAGTTCGACAGTCTAAATATTTTTATTATTAACCATTCTATTTAAAAAAAGAAGCAAATGATTTGAAGTGACTAAAAAGCACTTTAGCTCTTTCCAATTGCACTAAAAAATAAAATAAATCTTGCTTTTTAAATTGCCTAGTTCTTAAGAATCTGAAAACAAATAAGCAAAAAACCAAGAACAAATAAACATTTATTTATTAAAACTAATCTATTTAAACAAATTAAATTAAACAGAGAACAACATTTATTCTCTTTGCTGAAAGCTGAAAAACCTTTTAGCTCAAATTTTCTTGCAGACCTTGCTCATAAATCCACTTGAATAAGAAAAGCATCAAAAAAGCCTAGAAGCTACTTAAAAATGGTATATGTAACATTGAACTTTGAATGTTGACTGGAGTAGATATATTAAGACATATCATCTTTCCCATAGTAGACATTATTATAAAAGCATTAAACCTCCTAATAAATTTTTAGCTCTAATAAATCATAAAACTCTAATAAATTATAAAGCTCTAATAAATCATAAAGTCTGTAATAAAGCTTTAACTGCACCAGGTAATTCTGGTATAATATTTAGAGACAATGTCATAATTGGTGTAATGTAAAAATAATTTACAGACAATGTCATAATTGGTGTAATGTAAAAATTGGCAACCTAACAATGTCTTAGGTTGACAACTTTTTGCCGACCTTATAAATTAACTTAATTTTATTTGCTATTTTAAATAAATTAAAAACTGAAAATTTTTAAATAAAACACTAAAAAAAAATTAAACTTTTTTAAAAAATGTTTTTATATTAAGCGAAATACTTTTTGATGAATATTTATTTATTACTTTATTAAGTTAAGCAACAAATTACTTCTAATGGTTGTTTAAAAGAAACCCATTTTTTAATTTTAAAAACATTTTATACATTATTTTATACAAATAAATATTTTTATGATAAATTTAAGTCTTTTCAAACATTTTCTAAGATTAATTTTATAATATAAATAAATTTAATAGTGAAAAAATTTAGGGCAGTGGTTCTTAACCTATTTCTAGTCTTGGACCACTTTCAAAATTTTAGCAATCTTATGGAACCCGTCCAAGCCTTATTGTAAATGTATTAGAAAAGAAAAAAAACATCATAACCTTTATTTATTAGTATCAAGTAAAATTTATTGCATATCAGTTGTTTAATGAGATGGCTGCTGCTATTTCTTTTTAATAAGCACTCTAAATTTAGGAATTGTCTTTGATAATGAAGGACGCATATCGTCTTTGACATCTATTTGGTTACGATTTTTAGTTTTTATTGACACTAATGCTAAGAAACCTGACTCGCAAAGGTACATAGTAGCAAACAGAATTAATATGGACATTGATCGTTTAACAAGAAGAATCACAAACACCCTTTTCATGAAAATCAGCTCTCAATACTGCTTTGGATCTCATTAAATAAACTTTAATATGATCTTCATCATTGATATCAATCATATATTGGCTACGCACCCAAGTCTCCTGATCAAGGCAAAAGTACCTTCAAACAAGTTCTGTAGCATTTTACAATGTTCTGAGACCTCTTTTTGTATTTCTTTATTTAACCTTCTTGACAACTGCATTTCACTTTGCGACAGCATTTCTTCCAACATACAAAAATTTGCAGGTACACCTACATCCACTCTTCTTTTCCTAAGTGGCAGCTTACCAAGAAAAGCTTTTAGTTTTTCAGCTGCATCCACGATTGTGACAGCAGGATCCTGAAGAGACAAGTTTATTTCATTCAAATAACTAAAAATATTGGCTAAGTAAGCTAGTCCTTGCAAAAAGTTTTCACTCTCCATAATTTGATACAATGCACTTACTTGATCTTTCAGAAATATCAAGACTTTTACGTGTAACTCAAATAAGCACTTTAAAACCTGTCCTTTTGATAATCAGCGAACTTCTGTATAACACAGCAGTACTATATTTTTGCTTAAAAAAACTTTAAACTTTTCTTAAAAAAAAATTAAGTAAAAGAAAATCATTCTTTTTATTGTAGACTTCAAACTGTTTTTTTTTTTGCTTCGCCTTATCTAATTTTGTTGCTGAATGTAACTCTAAAGAAACAAAAATAAAAACAGTACACAACTTATTTAAATTATTAATTTTTTTTTTTTTTTTTTTCTATTTCAATCTCTTTTTATTTTGTTGGTTTTGTTTTTTGTCTTTGAAACTTTTTCAGCATTATTATAAAACTTGCAAACGGCCGTGTTCATGCTTTCTAAAATATTACAATCGCGTGTGGTCATTCGAGACGAAAAACCGTACGCCTTTCCTGGGAAGGCTTGATACTAAATACATCCCTTGCTTATGTTGTTTCCAAAAGTGATTCGCAAAACAGAAACTCTTCTTTCATACTTTGTGTTTCTATATAAACATAACGTACAAACACCATGAGCTGGCTACACTGTGATACATCTGTGCTCTTGTCCAGTTGCATGCTAAATGGAAATGGCGAAGAGTTAAGTTTATTAATGACCTGTTGCAAAATGTTGGGAGACATTTCAACAATTCTGGAATGGATGACATCATTTGACAAAGGTCTTACTTTAACTTTAATCTCTACCACATACAAGTTCTACTATGTCTAGTAAACAAGGCTTTAGAAGAGTTTCTGCAATAGTGTGTAGCTTTTTTTTGTTTGGCAATGCAATATGCAACTTTGAACGATGCTTCAAAACATGGTTTTTGTTTTGAAGTAAAACCTAGTTTAAAGATGTTCTGACAATTTTGACAGCTTCATACTGCCATTAGCAAGCACTTTATCACATAGAAAGCACTGTAGTTTTTGTGTTCCATCTTGTTTAGTTACAAAAGTGAAACCGTAGGCGACATATGAATGTTTATATTTTCTTTTTTTTTGACATTTTCAACTAACTGTAAAAAAAAAAAAAAAAAATTTTTACTAAAGTACACCTTAACTTCTGAAAAACCAATAAAATAATTAATGAAAGCTATATTATAGATAAATATGTATTATATGGGGATGAAAATTTTCATGTAAAACAATATTCACTTTGATTTGTTTAATAAAAAAACAATAATGGTACTTGAAAGTGTTGTTTGGATGTGAAGTCTTGGCACATATGTCTTGCTATAAACTATCAATTAAAAATATATAAATTTAGCTGTTTAAAAAAGAAAAACTCCATCCCATTTTCAAAATCTGTGCCTGCTACATGGACCCCCTAAATGCATTCACCCTGGTTCATGGACCCCTGAGGGGTCCATGAACCAGGGTGAAAATAATTTTATGTTTAATTAGTTTAGTATTTACTTAATTTAATTACTTTATTTTGTTTATTAATTTTTTTTTTTTGTTCTTCTTTCCATTGTTTTAACTTGAATTAAATAAAACATTTGTTTTGCCTGATTTTTTAAGTTATTTTAATTAGAGTTTAAATAAAATGTTTGTCTTTATTTTTGTTTTTATTTTAATTACTTTATTTAATATTTATACTTTATAATTAATATATATACTTTATACATTTATAATGTTTTTTTATTTTTATGCTGTTTTTATTTTAATTACATTATCAAATAAAATGTTTGTTTTTCCTGTGTTTTCTATTTTTATTATTTCATTTAGCATTTATTTAAAGCATTATTTTTGCTATTTTAATTTAAATAGCAGAAAAATATGAATTTTTTGTGCACGTCAACCTTAAAATGACAGCTTGGCCTTTATTGTGTATACAAAGGTGTTAAAGGATCAGAAAAATATACTTTGAAAAACTATTGTTTTAAAAAAATGATTTTTATTAATTTTACAATAACAATCTTTAATAACTTTAAAATAATAAACAACATCAGTGCTCTTTTTTTTTAATAACAGATTTTTGCTTTTATCTTAACTTTATTTATTTATTTATTTTTTATTAATGTCTGGGGCTTATATTTATTGTATTTAATGTTTAATGCAATCAATGAGATGTTTGGTGCATCCAATGAATAGATCATTATTACTATTAAACTGACTTTTTAATTTTAGTTTCTATTTTATTATTTTGATTTTACTGTTTTTTTATTACAGTAACAGTTTTTTTGTAGTTTTCTTATTCCTAACAATATTATTTAGCATCCTAAAATTTAAAACATTTTAATTTCAAAAATGTTGTATTGGTGGAAATATATAATCTACAATACTTTTTTTAAAGTTCAATTATTATTGAATTGATTGATAGTAATTTAAAGTATAAAAAAATTTTAGTCGAAAATATATACCAAATAATAGTTCCGCACTATAGAACAATTACGCCATCTTAAACTTGGTTTTAAGTTTGAAAAAAAGAAAAAGGAAAAAATTGCTTAGTTGTCATTTATGGATGTTGTAAAAAACTTTCTAGGAAATAAAATTAAAAACTATGCAGATTTACTTGATAGATAGTTAAAAGCCTTTTGCAATCTTAAATGTAAAAAAAAGATACATATAAGTAAAAAAATAAATTTTTACTTTATAAGAGATATTGAAATTAAATAATAAATGATTGAAAAATAATTAAAACAAAAATTTTTGAAACTTTTGTTAAAAAAGTACTCTTGAATAAAAATTATAATCCCAATAAATTTTATTTGTGAGTCAAATATAATGTTGTAAAGTAACTTGTTACTTTGATGTTGAGGAAGTATCTTGTTCAAAGCTCAAAGCATTTATCATTTACATCATTAAATTTAAAGAGTAGAAGTCTCAAAAATTTTGAAATTTTAACTTTATGTTACGAAACATGTTACTTTGGAGTATAAAATTTCATTATATAAGTAGTCATCATGACTAGTTTCTTATAAACCTTTGAGATGTGAGTGAAGAAAAGGCAAGTGATTCCATCTTAACACATCGTAAGACAATTAAATATCAATGCCAAAAACGTTGGAACAAATGTATAATAGCAGACTACTGTCAGAGCATTTATTGAGATGACTCAGGTTTGGAAAAGAAAGAGCAGTAAAGAAAATTTCCTTCCTGAACAGATATTTTATTATTTTCTAACTAAAGTTTTTTTTGTAAATCATTAGAAAGATGATACTAATAAATGTTCATTTTGTACATAAAATTGCAATAAATGTTTTTTAAACTTTTATATCTATCAATATTAGGTCTCAGGTCTAAACTTAAATCATAAATGTCATTATCATTATTATCAGTTTAGCGTCTTTATTTTCATGCTTGCATGGGATACTTTTTAAAATTAACTCCCATTTTTTCATAAAGCATAAAAATTATATTTTCAGTCAATCACTAAAATCGAAAAGAAAAGTCCTCTAAGAAAATTATCTATCAATATTTTGTATTAGTTTAGATACCTTTAATTTATTATTTTTAGTACAGTTTTAATTTTTGCCTAATATTATTGAATTTGAAAATTTATAGGTTCATTGCTGTATGGATATCAAAATTACTTCAAAACATTAGCTTCTATAATATCATTATTGTTGGGAAAATTTAGTTACAGTCAGTTTGAAAATGCCAATAACGTTCTTGGGCCAAGCTTTTTTTTTGGATTTAATTTCATTGTTATATGGATTGTTATGAACATTTTTATTTCAATATTAAATGATGCTTTTGCTGAAGTTTGTGCAGATTTCCAGTTTCAGACTAATGAATATGAAATGATTAATTTTATAATTGTTAATTTAAAAGGTTATTTTGTTGATCTTTCTTTTTATGTTAAAAATATGTAATACTTTTTTTTTTAATTTTGATTTTTGTTGTTTAACAATTGAAATTAAAAATTTGAAAATAGTTCATGTTTTTATAATGAGATAATTGAATAAAAATATTTTTTTCAAAAATTAATAGTTGTAATTCAGCACCTATTAACAAAAATTTGATAATGAATATTTGCACCCAATTTATTATTAATTGATTAAAATTAATTAACCAAGTACCTTTAGCTACAATATTTTTTTAATCTAGCAAATGTTTTTTTGTTGTTTTTATTGTTGTTTTTTTATATATTTGAGTACTTGAAAGTACATCAAAATAAAATGGTTTCAAATTTAAAAAGATTAATTAGTGAACAAATAACAATAATTTAACAATGATTTTTTTTGGTTTAATAAAAAAGTGATACCTGAAAAATAAAAAATAAAATTTTGATTGTGCATTACTTTTTTCCAATTGCATGTTCGTGCAAGCTCATAAGTTTTTCTCGTTTGCAAATTTATCCATGCTTGCATAAATATTTGACTTTTAAAAAGATATTGCTTATTATGAAAACTTTGTGAAAAAATGCTTATTTTTAACTCAATACCTTTTGCTTATGAAACATCTTAATTCTAAACTCACTACATTTCAAGATTTTGCCACTTGGACTTTTAATGGCATCTAATTAACAGATTGACACACATGTTTTTTTTTTGTTACTAAACCTATTTCGGGAGGAGTTTTATGGTTTGAGACTTTATTATTTTTTTATTTAAACTTTATTTAGAACTGTTTGGATGGAATCCTTCTAAGAAAAGTGTGGATATAACTACAAATCAAAAAGTAGGACTTAGAGAGGATAGCAGTATGGATTGTATGGGATTGCTTAGAAAATCAAAATTACATCAGTTCACTGAACTTAATCAAGGTATTTTGGATTGAATTTTTAGAAAATATTTTTTTCGTTTGTAAGAAAAGCTTTTCTTTTTTTAAATTTTAAAAACCACGTCTTTACTTGTGCAGTGTGTACAGATTTCCAAGTTTTTCAGAAGTGTTTTTAAAATATTTTTTAAAACTTTTTTTTGTAAATTGTGTGATAAAATTATAACTTACACACAGCCACTTTTTGTGGCTCCTACATTAGATTGATTTAGTACCATGTAAAAATGCTATGTGATTTTATTGGAGATAAATATTATAATGGAAATAATATTATTATATAAATGGCCATGGCGCGTGGATAGAGGACTTGCTTAAGAAGCAAAAGGTCTAGGGTTCAAAACGAGTTCTGGGCATATTTCGCATCATCAGTAAGAAAGTAACCGTTAACTTCCAGGTCAAATGTTTTCGCTGTGCTTTGTGACAAGATTGTTAGGTATTCTTGGATTACCTCAAAAACAAAAATTAAAACATCTCCTTCTAAAATAAACTTCGTCTAAAATAAATCACCGTCTAAAATAAATATTCAGTATAGTTTTGAAGGCTTATTTTCTTTTCATTTTCAGCATTTAAATTTTTAAACTTTTTATTTTGTGCAAGCCGTGAATTAAGTTTAATTTAATCAGATTGCTTATTTTATACCAATCCAATTAAGTTATTTTTACAAAAAAAAGTTTTTTAAATTTTTTATTTAATTTTTTAAAGTTATAATGCATGGATAAACTAAATTAAAGCTCACACTTTTTTACGCGCCTAGAATAGCAGCAGCCTCAGACACTGCATCTAAAATAGGAGTGACAATCTTCAATAATTTTACCCGCGTTTCAACTATACAATTCAGTGGCACTTTCATACAATTTTTTTTTCTGTGTGCGCTTAACTAGAGTTAGTTCTATAGAACCATTATTTTTTTAATAAATCCCTATAAGTTAGAAGTTCTGTTAGTCAAATTTTGACTAGACTTCAAATAATATTTTACGTTTCTTATAATTTCTTCAATGGAAGTAGCTTTGTCAAAAGCATTTTTTATTTCCAAATTTAACAACTGATAAACATCCTAAAACTCACGAGGATGAAATATAGTTACAAGTAGTAACAAGAAAGTTATTGCAGTTGTTGGCCTTAAAGTAATCAAAAGTGATGCTCAATGGAGATGAAGATAAAATTTTCGAAAATTTTTTAATAATTGTATCTATTAAAAGTCCAATTAAATTTGAGTTTATTGAAAAGCCTGATGTTTTTTGATTATGTTATTGTAATTTTTTTTTGTAGCAGATGCGTAATTTTAGGTGTTGTAGTTTTTCATGGTATCGTTTTAATTGGTTCCATAGGATGAGATAAAGTTCCAGTTTTTTGAAAGGAATACTTTTTATTGCAATTTTGCTGTATGCCAGAATGTTTCTTTTACATCAAAGAATTCTACAAACTAGTGACGCATAAAAAAAGTTTACACATTACTAGTTTACATTCAGCTCTGTTTAAGTTTCCAATTATTTATATTAAATTACGTTACAAAGTTTCATTACCGCTGAATTTTCTGATGTATTTTAATTTTTTAACAACTTTATAATGCCTTATGTTTGAAAACAAATAACAATAAAAACAAAGAAATGATTCGAAAAGTTCAAATCATTTTTTTCAAATCGAATCTTAAGTCAACTTGATTTGCAGGGCCCTACAAAATTGAAATAAATTTTTAACTTTTTTTTAATATGGTTATTAAAATTTTTTTAATTTTTTTAATATCATTTTATTACTTTTATTTTATTTTTAATTTTTACAAGGTTTTGAAAGAAATTTTTGGAAAAGTAATTTTTGGGAAACAGCTTATCTTGCGCCGTGTCTTTGGCAGCTTGTTGTGCCAAAGGAATTCCAGTATCCAAATTGCCAACTACTAAAATACGAATTTTAGTAGTCGGCAATTTGGATACTGGAATTGGCAATGTTGGATTTATAATTGGCACTCGACAAATGTTGTACAACAAGGAATTTTGACTTTAGTCTGCAAAAAACATGTTACTACCCTCCTTTAAAATCTCTTCGAGATGGCCCTGCCTATTATTAGAGAATAAAGGAATAGTCAGGAAGATCATCAATGTAGATAGGAAATAAAATAGGACTTAGAGTAGAACCTTAAGGTGCCTCAGAAGTTACTGAAAATGAAAAGAGTGTTGACCATCAAGGAATACTTAACTAGAAAGAATTGATTTAATAATCTCGAAAATTTTCTCAGGTACACCATTAATTAAAATAAGAACACATTCTTGTAGGTTTTAGCGAGTTTCTTTTTTTCTTTAAGTTAACTATTATTTCTAAAAGAAAATTTTAATGTTAAACAGTTTTTTTATAATTTTTTTAAAAGTGAAATTTAAAGTTAAATATTATTTTCAAAGGTGAATGTCGAGTCAAACCCATTATCATTTAACTTAAGCGACAAATTTTATTAAAAAAAAAGTGTTTGGTTTTATCTTCAAGTGAACTTTACAGGTTTTTTGGCCATAAAATATAAGCTTAAAGGTTTTATCAAAAAAAATATATTTTATAAATTTGTTGCTAGCACTATTGGAGTATTTTGGAAATCCATAGCAGTCCTTAATTGATACAAGTTGGTTTGTTTCTCAAAACTTTCTTTTTCTTATATTATTTCAGAAAATGTATGAAAATAAAAAAATATATATTTTTTATTTTTGAAAAAGCGATTTCAAGTTAACATCTTATTTTATTAAAAAAATGAAAAACTACTAGAAATCAAGAAAAACTGTCAAATTTCTTAAATACGTGAAATTATGTTGTATATTTTATTACTCTAAACTAAGTTTAGAAATTTTTTGACAGATTTTAAATAAAAAATTTTTTTCCTGATTGTTTAATAAAGTTGTACTCAGGTTTTCAGATAATAAAAATATAATAAATAACTGAACTTTAACATTTTAAATAGTAATATAAACAGAAAGGAATTCAAAGAAGATATGAATGATAAGATTATCACCACAATCTTTTCTTAGAGTCTATGCAAAAATCTTTGTTAAAAAATTACATAAACTATACATTACAAAAAATAATAATAATAACACTTATAAAATGTGTTAACACATTTTATAAGTGTAATTATTTTTCAAAATTGAGTGACTTTTAGCAAGTTTTAACTTATCGTGAAAAATATTAATCTCAAAAAGAAATATTGTTAATTAAAGTAAAGACTTTCTAATGAGAAGAAATATAGGATTATCTAAATAAATCCTTATCTAAAAAAAAACCTGGCTGATTATCAACCATCACAGACAAGTGTCAGCAGAAATTGCATGCTTAATTTCTTGAAAGAGTCATTTTCACATTTAAAAAAAAAAAAAATTCACTGAAGTTAAGACTTGTAGGCTTTTACGGTTACCTTTAATTTAACTTAAGTAACTTACTTTAGCGTAACTCCTATCGATTTGTTTTAATATTTAAATTTTTGTTGTTAGCTGTTTAAAACTATAAAATTTATGAAAATAAAATTCAATTCAAGTTTATTTATAAATTAGTTTACAGCTTTTCTTATACACGCATATTTTAAAAGTATTTTATAGAAAACACATTTTTAAATAATTTTATTTTATTGTTCACCTTTTGTTTATCTTTAGCAAATAAAACACATTGTATAACTCTTTTAGAAAAACCAATCATTAATCAAATTTTGAAACTGTCAAATTACGAAAATTTATCGAAAAAAGATATAGATATTGTCGAACACGAATCATTATATAAGTTTGTCAATTGTATGAGTGCTGTATACGAATCAAGTTTTGCTTTGGAAAAAAAAGGAAACAAAGTTGTTGAGTAGACGAAGATGAAAAGAAGCAAAGTTGTTGAGAAGGAGAAGTTGAAAAGATTACTTAAAGCATACTTCAAAACAACAACAAAAAATAACAATGTTTTAACAAGAAATTTGGTTAATTTTTTTTGTTTTTGATTACGTGTATAATTTTTTTTTTGATTCACTTTGTTGTTTTTTTTAAGTATCTTTTTTCTTTATTTATTTTATATGTGTACATAGTTCCACTATTTGCTATTCTCGTAAGCTTGGTGTTTTTATTACAATTATTAAATTTTTATTGTAAATACAGTAGCAACTATTAGACCAGATTCTGGCGGTTTACATAAAAATTGACAATTTATTTTAAATGTAAATAATAATGTATTTAAAAAAAAAATTATAGCACAAAAATGAAAATTAACAAATTGTATTTGTTTTTAACATTTCCTAAAAATTCGATTTGCCTATCCAATTGAAAAATAGAACCTAAAGAAACTTCCCTAAAAAACACTTAAATCGATTTTCAAATTTCAACAGACACCCACATAATTTTTTTAGGCATGATGCAAAAGACAAATTTTACAACAACAACTCAATGAGTGCATAAAAAGAAATATACAGATCTGTGAAAAAATATGTGGACAGTATGAAAAAAGTGTAATATTTTGATATCTTTTATCCTAGAAATATTTCTAAAAGTATATGCTGTATTTCAATTGTTAAAAATACTGTATGATTTACATTAGTTACACCAAAAAAAGTAATCAGACAAAAATTGACGTCATCTTTTCTATTTCCATTGTAAACAACAATCTAAAATGTAAATAAAATTTTTTTTACCGAATTATTAGATACTGTATTTGCATATAAATGGGTCGCCGTAGGTCGGAATATATGCTTAGGAAGCGTGCATGCATCATTGCTTTGCATAGAAAAGGTTTTAGCATCCGTTAAATAATTGCAATGGTTCATCGGAAGAAGAATCGTATAGCGAATGTGATTAAACGGTTTGCGAATACTGGTCAAATTGCTCCAAAGAAGCGACTTGGACGTCCTAGAATATGTTTTGATTGCGCTGATTGTGTTCTATCAAGCCTTGCAACTCTGGGTCGATTCAAGGGCTTGACTTTAATGTACAGCAATTGGTTTGAAGCAGAAACAAAAGCCTGCTCAAGTACAGTTCGGAGACGGTTGATTGCAGATGGCCTTAAAAAGTATCTTCCAGCAAAGAAACCAATGGTGATCAAGTTTCAGAGGAAAAGACGTCTGAATTTTGCAAGAACACACAAGCGCTGGACTGGTTTTTGTATTTTTATACTGCTTTTGCATAACACGTGCTTTTTATGCATTTGGCTTCAGGTCTCTTTTCAATGAAAGCGCATTCAGCATCCAGGTTAACAAGACTCATGTCAGAGGCTGGGCTAACGAGAGACTGCTTCCAAGTTGCATTTCTCCAACTGCTAAACACCCAGAAACCGTAATGATTTGGGGTTGTTTTTCATTCTATGAACCAACACGACTGTACATGGTTCCTAAGGCCACTACGGTCAACTATGAAAGGTATTTGAAAATATTGAATACACGCATGCTACCCAGTGCTTCAGCTCTGTATTTAACTGGTGATTTCATATTTCAAGACGACGGTGCTCCTTATAATCCCTTGAAGATGGTAAAAGCCTGGCGTCAACAACGCAGTGTCACTCAGATGCATGATTGGCCAGGCCAGTCATCAGACATAAACCCAATCGAAAATCTGTGGTGCATCTTGAAAAGGAACATCAGCAATAAATGTTTGATGCCAGGCACGTATTATTACAGATAGAGGTAATAATACGTGCCTGGCATCATACATATATATATATATATATATATATATATATATATATATATATATATATATATATATATATATATATATATATATATATATATATATATATATATATATATATATATATATATATGTGTGTTTAACGATAATTTTTTCAATCCAAAAACTATCGAGGAAACTAGTTAAAAAATATATAAAAAAATAAGTTATAAATGTTATTTAAACAAAATACACACACAATACTTTAAATAATAACTCCATATAAAAATATTTAAAGGTCCAAAATAAAACATTTAAGTTGATTGTTTTAAATAATATTACTTTGCCTTGTTTTTCTTCGATGTCATGTGATTGTGGAAAGTTAAAAAAATGTTGCACTAACCAAAATTTTATATGCAACTACATCACATTGCAAATATATATATATATATATATATATATATATATATATATATATATATATATATATATATATATATATATATATATATATATATATATGTATGTATGATATATATATATATATATATATATATATATATATATATATATATATATATATATATATATATATATTGATGTAATTCTTAAACAGTCATGTGACATCGAAATGGAAACACTGTTGAAACTTGATTACTTTTTAATTAAACGATATTTATCGATATTAATTTTATAATTTAATTACATATTTAAAGTAGTTAGTGGAAAAAAAGATTTATGTAAACAAAAAATTTTGACGAAAAAAAATTTCAAAGGCATTTTTGTTGTTGTTGGTACACTTGGTGTTTGTATAGAATGATAAGAAATTATTAGAATAGGAATCAATCAAAGTTTTAATAACCACCATTAGTAGAGGTAAAAATAGTGTTACTAGAATTAAAAGAAAAGATGACTTAAACGGCAAAAAAGCTGAAGGTTGACATCAACCATTTAAGCTAAACTTATGTCAAATTTTTTAGATAAAAAACTTATTAATAAAAAGACAAACTACCAATTATTTTTGAGTTATCTAGAAAGTTTAAGGTATCAGGAAAATGAATTAAATGTTACATTCATAAAATATTTAATTTTAAAATAGTTTCAAAAGGAGGTGTACATGCATTATCACTGTGAGAAATCGAGAGAAGGTTTACAAAACCAAAAAACTTTACGGATAAAAAAAACTTTTAAATCAATTAAGAAAAACTGGACAAAAATCATAACAACTGATGAAAAACTATTTTATCTTACTGATTGTGATCAAAAATCTAAACATATTTACATAAATAGATATCAAAAATCACTGAGAGTACCGTATTATAAAAATAAAAATGGTTGCAGGGTTTATTTAATAATATAAGAAGGAACATCTTTTAAGAACTTATAAATTTGGCATTGATGTCCAGGTCAAAACTTTGTAAACTTATCTAAGATAACAAAGGTTATCAAATTGAACATTTAAGAAAAAAAATTAAGAATAAAAAAAATATTGCTTTTTAAATATGTTCCCATTTCAATGTCACATGACTGTAAATATATAATAAAAAAAATGTCTATTAAAAACATTTATATCATTTTTGTGTTCACATTTGTTTATATTTAGATAAGAAAGCACTTAAAGGTGTAAGAGTTAAAAAATTAGTTATAAGTAGTATAACTTAATGTTAAGTTCATTATTTATATTTAGAACAAGAAGAAAATAATTTTTTTTTTTTTCAAAATTGTAAAACTGTTTTATACTTTTTAAATATATTTTATTATAGTTCATCGAAGTAGATATTTTGCGAGAGAGAGAGAGAGAGAGAGAGAGAGAGAGAGAGAGAGAGAGAGAGAGAGAGTATTAGGTATTAGGTAGAGATAGGTATTTTACTTTTGTTTTTAACAATTTTTAACTTAAGCATGAACAAAAAAAATACTTTTTTTAAAAATGATAAAAAGTATTTCATTGATTTCATATTTAATTTTTTAGTGATGACAATGGACCAGATAGGTAAAAATTATTTTGTTTATAAATTATTAGTTTTCATTTATATTATAGTTACGTTTTAAAATTTTTTTAGCTTGCTAAAGGTTATTCTAAGTATGTATCTTTATTAATAAATTTTTTTTTAAATGGTTTTATATTAAATAAAAATAATAATTTGATAAATTAAGTTTTCATTATAAAACAGCATTTAAAAATGCTTACATTTAAAATTTCTAAATAATATACATAAATATGCAAATCACGAAAAATCAAATAAGATAAATCTCAGAATGCACCAGTTTGATATGGGTTTCCATCATTTTCAGAAAATTTATCATATCTGTTCTTCTTTTTTCCTCGAATTATTTGTCTGCGTTTTTTTACTCGGTTTAAATTTTTATATCTGGCTAAATATAATCGTTTTTTATTTATTTGCCTACATCCTTCTAGCAAGTGCATTCCAGGTCTAAAATCCATTTTTTCTAAAATGAATACACTAGTTTGTTTACCAATATTAAAATGGGCAACTGCATCATAAACACCAAACTGAAGATGTGTAAGCAAAACATAATGGCCTTTTGGTATACGTTCCCATATATTGTCATGTTAAATAATTCCTTGTTATTTTGAGTAAGGCCATAAAGATTTTAAAGTGTCATTACTTAAAAGTCATTTTTTGTAAGAATCAGGCAGTCAATGGAAGTGACCTCATCCAAATTGCTTGAAATTTTTATATATTGATCAGAACATAGAGAAAACCTGTTGAGGAAAAAAAAAATTTTCAAAAATGTTTCGTTCACTCGGAATCTGGGCTTAAATTTTTAAGATTTTTTTAAAAATTTTTAGAAATTTAGTTTTTGCCACCTTTGAACCCATTTTTTTGGCAAGGCAAAAAGTTGCACATAGCTTTTGTAGTTAATATCAGACGTAACTCAAAAGCTCTCTCAAAAAAATATAAAAAAGTTGCGTGACACTGTGCGGTTGGCTAATTATTATAGTTCAAAAGTACAAAATCAATCAGTTTTGTCAATTTTTAATCGGAGTTAATTCTAGCGGCGAAGTGTTGCACACAATTTTTCTTTTTGAAAAATTGTGTGCAACACTTTTTTTCAACACAACAATTTGAAATTATCAAAGGTATTGAGTCTAAGAATGCAAAGAAAGTTATGTGATACCTAAGGCCTATTAATATATTAAGGCTTGAAATTGGAAAAAAATGTTTTAGTATACTTACAAAATGAGCTATTACGGCAGAGGCTTTAAGTTTTGTAAAAATATAATCATGTTAAATGGTCTATATAAGATGACCCTAACATAGTTTAAAAAAAAACTCTTTAGATATTAAGTTAAAAATAAAGGTACAAATTGTTAAAAATGATTAAGTACGAAGAGATATTTTTTGGACACACAAATGAGGTTTTCGCTCACAATAAAATTTCTATCATCCAAAATTAGCAATTAGCATTACACAAAACATTGCACGTAATGTTAAGAAAAAATTTAAGCGTTTCTGACTATGATATAGAAATCATAACAATTGAAATAAATAATAATAAAAAACAATACATGATCAGAAGTGAATTATTTAAATTTACGTCATAACCAAATAACTTGTGGTGATCAAATGGAAGAAGAATCGCTGATATCGCGATTGTGGAGAAACAAGTTAGTGGGCGGTTGATTACTTTACCATAAAAATGGCTTAACTTTATTTTAACGATCTTTAAAATTTGCATAAATAGAGTAGATATTTTATCATTGCTATTGAGAAATAGGTACTGCATAAATAGAACTTTTTTTTAGTTGAGTATGGAACAAAACAAATATTTTTATAAAAACTGTTGATGCTTTTCAAAAGGAAATTGTGGATCATTCAAAAAACATAAAATTATAAACAAAATGTTCTACATTCATCAGCTGGGAGATGTTGATGTTAAGAAACACCTCATCAACTTAAAGGTAATTATGTATTTTAAATTTACGCAGACTGTAATATAATTTTTATAATTACATACTTTATAACTTCTCTGCAATAAGATTTTGAGACAAAGTTCTTTAAACAAAAAAAAAATAGCTCTTATTATTAATTCCTCATTCTTTTAATAAATAATCACTAAATTAATCACACTCTTGCAATATTGTATTTTAATAATAACAACAATGTATTTCAAACTTGTAAACATTTTTCGTGAAGAGTCAGATTATAAACAATGCTTTAAATGACACACTTAATAATTGTTTAAAAAATTGTTTTTAGGTCATGCGATTAAACGATAATAATATTTGGGAAGAAAATGGACTTTTTGCAAATAGACTTAAAAGAAATCTTGAAAAGGATGAACAAATATGTGCTTTTCACCGGTACACGTTTGGTATTGCATGGAGTCCTCCAAAAACATGCTTTCATCCTCACCATCTAAATATAAAAGGAAAAAAATCTCCCGCTTTAAGGGCGTCACCAATACATGTCGTCATATCAATGTCAAAGCGATACAATGAAGTATTTTCAGTTAGTGCAATGCTGTGTTTTACCCATTTAAAGCAAGAAACTGCTTTATCTAGAGTCAACGAAAACACCGATTTATGTACAGAAGCACAAACACAACAAGAACAAACATATATGACACCTGCTACTCCAGATGAAGAATTTGATCCCGGTGAAATTAATGTTTCACAGGAAATTTTGGACGAATCTCTAAGAAGCCGTGAGAGTGTAACTGAGGTTCTTAATGCAAGTCTAATAAAATTTAGATTAAAAAGGAGGTTCGAATATCTGGAAGATACTACTAAAGATAAGTTAAAACGCAATTATGTTTGCCTAGAAAACTTATTAAAGAAAAAATTTGCGGAAGTTGTTGCTCCTGGACATGAGGAAATACTTATAGATTTTCTTAACAGTAAAAATGTTGATGAAATAATTAGCCCTCTCCCAATTGAAATTATTCGTGCTCAGAAAGTATATAAGCAAAGTGATTCCATGGGAAAGTTAGTTATCCTCTCATTATTAGACCATACCAAGTATACCAAAAAGTTTATAATGAACACATTTGAGTGTACCAAACATCGTATAGAAACAGCAAGAAAATGGCATGCATCTCATAAAGGGTTGGCATTTCCAGAGAAGAAAGTATTCGTCCGATCTAGTCTTGATCAAAAAAAGTGTGAACATTTCTTAGACTTTATATTTACAAGCGGTATTTTGCATGATGTTGCTTATGGAATAACACCAAATTAAAATACGACAGCGGTGAAAAACAAAAGATAGTGCATGCAATACTGACGACAAAATATAGCCACGCTATCATGTTCTATCGAAAAAGTTGTAGTGAAAACAATTATATACCATTACCTGATTCAAGTTTGTGGAAAGTATTGCATGCAATAAAACCTTCAAGTTGAAAAAGCTTATCTGGATTAGATGATGTTACTGCTTCAGACATGAATGGTTTTCAAACATTACAAAAATTTGCACAAAGATTTAGTTCTAAATCTCTCGAAGCTGCCCTTGAAAAAGGAAAAAGGTATTTGAAAACAAGTTATCAAACCAATTCTGGTGTCAACGACTCAAACATTTCTTCTCATAGCTCAAAACATCCCTTATCAGATCCATCTGAAAAAAATCTTCAATCCAACACAGAGATATCAGAAGTGGTATGTGCCGATTGCTATGATTTGTGCAAAGCTATCGAGATGATCAAAGAACTAACAATTCAAAATTCTGACGATGCTGATTTTATTTATGATTTGGAAATTGCTGTAAAGGATGTATTCAACTACATAAAACACCTGATGAGAGATTCTCAACAGAAAAAGGCAAAAATCGAAGCTTTTAAGCAATTAAACGATGAAACTGCTTTCTGGCTTAAAGATTTTTGTCAAAAAATTCTTCCGGTTTGATACAGAGAGGGCCAAAGAGAGTATTTTGGCAATAAAGGAATGAGTTTACATGTGGATATATTCTTCATAAAAATAGCAGGAAAGTTATTCAAACGTGTTTACTTTACTTCAATGTATAGGTGTGATCAGGGAATAGGTGATGTTGTTTCGTTAGCCACTGCAGTTTTAGACCAATTCAGAATTGATCAACCGCATATCAAGAAAATGTTTACCAAATCTGATAATGCCGGCTGCTATCAGGGAAATCTGAAGAAATCTACAATGTATGCAAAGAGAGAGATATAAAGTTGCTGAGATGTGATTATAATGAACCCTGTTGTAGAAAAGATCAATGTGACAGGGAGAGTGCAGTTGTAAAGACAATTTTAAGGAGTTACGTTGACTCTGGTAATAATCTTTTGACTGCTGAAGATATACACAAGGCTATACATTATAGTTTTGGCGCTAAAGATGCCAAAGTAGCAGTTGCTCAAATTAGCAATGATAAAACTGTAGTTACTGGACCAAAGATTAAGAACATTAGCAACTATCACTCATTTGAGTTTGGTGAGAAAAGTATGAAGATGTGGCGTTATTTCAATATCGGTGAGGGAATTGAACAAGAGTATGGAAACCTTAAAATTCAACCCTCGATTAAGTTGTTGTTGCCATATAGCAAAACAGATAATTCAATTAAGCGTAACAAGTCACTTAAGGAAAAACAGAGAAGATGTGACAATAGTTGCATCAGTCAATTTTCTGCGACCAGATAGACCTTTTTCCTTTTTTTTTAAGATTACTTAAGCGAGTTCCAACTCTTTTTTGAACATGTCCAACACATTCAAGTTAGTTTACTTGTATACCTTCACAAATATTTTTCACAGCATCATAACCTTTGCTAACTCCATCATCATAAAATTCAGTATATCGCAGACTATGATTTGCAATGAACCTATTCCATATTCTGTGGGTTACCTCTGGCTCCATACCACCAGCTAGTCCTTGATCATTAAAAGTACGTTTGTGTTTATTGTGCCATTTTTCATAGGCAAATGGGTTTTCTTTTTTTAAGTGTTTTTTAAGAAAACAACCTTTACATACCTTGTTCATTGCTTCAACATCGTATACTTTGCCATGGCATATACAGCCCCTGTATTTATATCAAAACTTTTTTGTACGTTGAATGTTGAAGAGTAAAACTCTTTTGAGTAATTACAAATAAAACAGTTTTAACAGTTAGACAAAAAGAAATAACACTAATGAGATGCATTCTGGACATCTAAGGGTAGAAACTACAGGCATAAGTATTTCTAAATCAATGAAACAGTGTCCTGTAATTAGGGTAATCGACATTATGGGTCTTGATGATGAAATTTTTTAATTGTTTTAGCAGAAGTACTAATTTTGATCAGAACCAATTACATTAAAATCAACAGTTCTTATCATATTTACATTTATATCTTCAACAATTTTAGTAATATTTACATTGGTATTTACACAATTTGATTCTATATTTACAATGCTATTATTCACATCTATATCCACACTATTTACAACTAATTTTTTCTTTCCATTAAGCATTTTTTTTTTATTTCCTTTAGTTCTTTGTTTAATTCTACAAGCTTTAACCATTATATAGAGAATAAAAATGGGCATTCCAGTGATTGTTTTTATTCTCAAGTAGTCTCAAGTGATATTTTTTAAACAAGAGAAAACAAAATTCCTTTTTTAAGTATATTTTTCAAACATTTTTTATATGATATTTTTTGAGCCAGAAAAAATACTGCTGTAAAAAATCGAGAGATATTTATAATGTTTTCTGCCAATGAATAAAGAGCAGTGTTCCCATTACTCGGCCAGATAAAATTTACCCGGGTAATGGGTAATTTTAAGTTTATTTATATTTTTAACTTACCGGGTTGTGGGTAATTTTAAATTTATCCAGGTAATACCCAGGTACTACCCGGATAATTTCATCAATTTGATCTTACAGCAGCCATTAAATAATCTATGGAATGTCAGTTAAGTCAATTTTGATTTAAAAAAACAAGTTTATGAAAGGCTAAAATGAAAAAGTTTGTAAATTTTATTTTTAAAATTCATTTTCCTTTTTTTTAAGTTTTATGTAGACTGACGCATTTAAACCAATGCACCAAGGGTATCATCTCCCAATCTATTATTTTCGTAACAAAAAATCTCATGACTAAATAACCTTGTTATCAGGCTCCACTGATGTTGGTTTAATAGTTAATAAAACTTTAAATAGTTTTTCAAAATTTTTTAACCTCGCACGAATAGCTTCAAATAAACTCATCTCTTAGTTTTAGGCCTTGCACGAGTAGCTTCAAATAAACTCTTTTCTTTGTTTTAAATCTTAGATCCAATCCATTTTACGGTGATAGCTTAATGCTCTATTTGATGAATAAATGAAGCAAATTCTTCTAAAATGAATGTTTTTCATCATTTTTTTTAGTTTTTAATCAGTTGTACTAGTAACTTCAATATCAACTGGTGGCTTTTTACTCGCTTTCTGTGGATAAAGTCTGTTTAAAAGTGAAGTTTTCAGAGATATTATACTACATTTTTATTTGAAACCGAACTCTTGCTCTTCCAAAGTGTCCAGAAATATTTAATATTGAACTTTGTGTGCAAGATCCTTTTTTGCATAAATATATAACAATCATTCCAATGGAAACAAGATTATTGCCTAGTTCTTTAATCTTCTTTAATTCTTTATCGGAATCATTAAATTCTTTTTGGATGGATCATTGTTACTTCAACTTTTTTGCAAACTTCATTAAATCTTCATAGCATTATAATAAGGCCATTGTGTTTTGCAATCTAAAAGTAAAGCTTTTTCCCATCCCAAGGAATAAATATTTTGAGGTTGAATATTGTCATCATATCTGACTGGGGTTTTTCTGAAGACTTTCAAAATCGAATTTTAGAAACAATAGCACCAATATCAGAAAATAGGTTTGTCTCAGTGCTTAATTAATCACAATTCTTCTATTGTTTCTTTATAATTCTCTTTCTCTTCAGTTTCACATTATTTAAATCATTGTTTATCTAATGAGGTTTATAAAGTATATCGCAAATACAAAGATGGATTGCATGTGCAAGAAAACCAACATGAATGAGACTGGTCTTTTTTCCAATTTTCATCACATCTCTCGCACCATTAGTGATTGTTGCTACATTGTCGTTGTACAAATCCAACTGGAAATCAGACAATCTCGACTTAACAAGTTAAATAACTTTTGCGGTCTTCATACTTTTGTGACACGTATTATTCCTATTGATTGAAAACCATCTAAACTATGTAAGTTCAGATTTATTAAACAAATTTTTTGACTGAAGCCAAAGCTATAGAAAAACCACCTCTTTCTTGAATCTTTTGAATGTCTTGCTTAATGACGGTGATAAATTTACCATATACTGCCATAAATTGATCTTTGATATTTTTAGGACTTTCTGGCAAAGCGTAACCATCTGATTTAAATGCTCTTCTAAGCAGAACACTATTAGCAATTTGGTTAAAACTAAGACCATCAGCTGCAACTAGTTTGCTTATTACCTCAATGAAAGGTTCAAGGCCTTTATAAAAGAAAGTATCATTGCAAAAAACTTTTGATGGTGTTTATTTAAACTTTTGATAGTGGTTATTTTTCTGGTGACAGATCTTTCTCAAGGCAATTTTTAGCTAGAATCTTATGCTTTTCTTAAAGGCTTTTTGTTCCATCTGCTTTCAAAACTGCTAAATAAATTTTTCACTTTTCACTATGTTCTGTTTTACTGTACAAAAAAAAATCCCAAACACGTGATTTTTTTTGAGAACTGACGTCTTTAAAGTCGGTCATTTTTTAAAAATGTGTTTCCCTCTGTTAAATATAGTGACAAATTATTTAAAAAATTAGATATATGTTAAATAATAACCATGTATATTTCAAAAAATATTTACCCTTTTTTTTATAAGAAACCCAGCAAATTATTTTTAACTTATTTTACGCTCACTATTTTCCTGATCTGATAATCAAAAGTCTTCCCAATAAGAAAAATGACGTTGGGACAACGTTATTCCAACGTCTTCCGTATCGTTGGAAAGACGTTGGTATGATGTTATAAATGAAACAGCGGAAAGACGTCATTTTGCTGACGTTGTTGCAACGATGTAAAATGACGTTGTGACAAGGTTACATTTGAGCTAAATGACGTCGGAAGAGCGTTATAACAACGTTAAATTTTAAGAAAAAAGACGTTATGAAGACGTTAGGCAAACGTTGTATTTTGAGCGAAATGACGTTGAGACAATGTCTATTCTATCGTTGTTTAGACGTTGGAATAATGGCTAAAATAAAACATAGGCTAACGTTATTTTAATGACGTTGGCCAAACTTTTTAAGAAAAACAATCACCAATGTATTTCTAACATTTTCACGATGTTATTTCTACACTGCAAAGAGAAATAAAGCACTATGTTGCACTGTATAACATCGTGGTGTGATGTTTTTTTTTCGTTTATTTATTTAGTTCATAGATGGCAATTATATTAATCCAGGCAACTAATTGAATATGGAAATTAAAAGACTAAAAAAGAAAAATAAACTTTACAATACTTCTATTTCAAAATTTTAAAATTATATACAATAACTTAGAGTGAAACTAGTTTGATTTTTACATTCTTTCCAACCTTCTAGCATATCTCAATTAATTTGTGTATTCTTTGTTTGACACTAAGAGATAAATTCATATAAATAAACAGTCATAAACAAATTTAATTAAAAGCATTATCAACAAACGAAAAACATTCAGAAAGAACAAATAGAAAAAACTAACATAAATACCAGAAATTGATCTAACTTGTTATTTGATGCTCACCTGAGTTTTCCTTTTTTTGAAAAATTATTGACAGAAAATCTTTGAGCAAAATCCTTTGAAATAGAAAAAATTAACATAATTTCTATTATAACTATCAAAAAAAATTTTTTTTAAATAACAAACTTTTATAAAACACCTTCTAACATCCTAATTGAAAATTTTGCAAATTTGAATGTTTCAATTAGGTTTTTAATGAAATGTTAGTATGAAAATTATTTTTTGATTAAAAAATATCTAAAATTAAATTTGCGTTTGAGTTCAATTTTTGGAACAGTTTTTCTTTTTACAGAAGCATTTTTTGGCAGAGATAATATTTTTTTATATCTTGAACTGCATGGTACAACAAAGAAGTCATTAAAAAGCCGACATGGAATTAACTCACAAAGTAAAGAATCAAAATTGATTTCAATAACCTGTGCCAACTGACCACTTTTTAAAAAAACCCAGCTATCTTTACCACCAGGGACTACTTTTGATTTGTGTTTTTTTCTCAAAAATTTATTATCTAAACAATCTAATTCTCCTAAATGCTTGACAATTTGAGCAAGTAGCATGTTCTTACCACGAACCAATCTTTTCAGACGCTGCAAATAATTTTCAAACGAAAAGACAGACATATCAAGTAGAGTCATTTGAAATTTTATAACACCTTCAGACAAATGAATCAGGTTTTATACATTATATGTAGTAAATGTTGGACCATAATAATCCACAGACTTAGATACAAACCAATTTAACAGCATTGATGCATAGCCAATGGTATTAGAACTAGAATTATTGTCATCTAACACACGAATAGCAATACTAAGACAAAAAAAATGTATATAAAGATCATGTTTTAATACATTTTTCAATACATAGGGACCAGTATACATAAGAAATGAACGAAACTCTGTAGCTTTCCATCTTTTAAACTCTCCTAGTGATCTAGGCTGTCTGACAAAATCAGATGGCATTTTACCAGATAAGTCATTTAATTTTTCAGTTATGCGGTTAATTTGGACATATGACAAACAACATATGTTTGGTCCCTCTGCCCAAAATATTATTAGTCATCAAACAACCCCAAGGCAAACTAAATGCATATAGTCTAAAACAAAGGCAGAAACACAAGGTAAATTAAAATCAATCAAAGGACTTTTAGATACTTGATGATCTTTATAATAATACATTTTAGAAAATTGTTCGTCTGAACGAAGAACAGAATTAATCCGATTAAAAACAACTCTTCCTTGCCATTTACCCTTGTCAATACATCGTTCACAGCCATGGTAAGCATTGTGTGGCTTTTTACATTTAATAAAAGCACATGCCGGAGCACCACATGTCCAAAACTTTAAACTGAAATTAAAAAAACCATCTTTGTAAACAAGACCATTAAACCTAGATAGATATAGTCACCAGAGCACATATTTTCAGTAAGCACACAATTAGGCGTTTTAAGTAAAGTTTTAGAATTTTTTGATAGGTCCTCATGTCCGTGTTTTTGCAACAAAATAAGCAAATCATTTAATGAAAAATGTGTAACTGCATGCTTAACCGCCCACTGAGCAAGATCATGTGCCAAATCAGGACATTGTTTAGAATGAAAAAACTCGAAGGAGTTACTAAAATCATCACTTGTTAAAGAGAGTTCAGTTATTGGTAATGTAGAATCACTTTCAAAAGTATCAATACTATTATGAATTGGACTAGAAAAAAACTCACCAGTTGAACTTTGATAATTATTATTATCTAATATACTGGCAATCAACGAATTAGTCTTTCTCCATATTGTAGACCTTGATGTCATTGTATATCTTTGTATTTCTTATCTATAATACTTATAAAAAAAAGAATATATATATATATATATATATATATATATATATATATATATATATATATATATATATATATTATATATATATATATATATATATATATATATATATATATATATATATATATATATATATATATATTAGGGCTGTACCGGATTTAATTTTTTCAAATCCGGCCGGAGCCGGATTTGCCGGATTTCTACTGACAGATCCGGCCGGAATCGGAGCCGGAGCCGGATTTCAAAACAAAACTACAGGAGCCAAAATCCTGTACATTCCTAATTGGTGTTGAGCATGGTCAACAATGTGGACTATTCAGAATACCAAGTGACTGCTGTTTTCTGTTAAACTTCATTGTTGTTATTTAAAAAGTTTTATAGCAATTTCTATATATAAATTAATAGAAATTCTAAAGAAATTCTATAGGCCATATGTTTTAAAAGTTTATAGTAATTCAATTGAACTTTTTTTCCGGGATTTTGTCACTCCGCCACTGTAGTGGATCATTGTGTCTATTTATTTCTGGTTCTTTCGGATATTTCCTTAGCTGAGTTTCAATGCCTTTTAGTAATTGTTGTTTATGTGCCCTGCCACCAGCGGACGTAGACTGAATAATTTTATCAATAAATTGCCAGAGTAATGATGATGATGATGTAAAAAAATTACTAAGCCCGGCTTATTTTGGTGGATTTTCTTCAGTTTTGTCAATCTTCTGTTCAGCATGCTCAGATTGACTTCAATCTTGTTTTTTCAGCTGTCAGTGTTGCCTGTAATGAGGAGAATTTAGTTTTAAATTGTGAGTCAACCAGCCTCGTCAGTATATAAAGAGGTTTCTCTTTTCAATGCTTTTAAAACGCTTATCCAATCACTTGATTAGGGTTGACATCATAGTCTTTATACCTGCATCATTCTAGAATATCGTGTGTCTTCCCTTCAGAATTTTTTGTTGCGTTGTTGTTTTAAATTAGACTTAGCTTATTAAATTATAAAGAAATATAAATACAAATACCAAAACAAATATGAGGTTCATAAAATATAGAATTACAAAAAAAAATTGATTTTTATAAATAAAATATTAGTTATACATGTAAACACGGGCAAAAAAAATGTAATAAATATTTGACAAAATTCAAAACTCCGGCTAAAATTATGCCGGATTTGCTAAATTTTTGCCGGAGCCGGATTTGGGCCGGATTTGTAAAAATGGCCGGATTTCGGCCAGAGCAGGAGCCGGAGCCGAAATTCGGTACAGCCCTAATATATATATATATATATATATATATATTATATATATATATATATATAACAATTAATTTATATAAAAATTATATAACATTGTATAATTAATATTTTATCATTAAATGTTGCTATTTAGTATAAAAACACAAAATATTATACAAACTGTTAAAGTTTAAATAAAGCTTTTGTAACTTTTTAGAAATAAACTTTTATCATAAGAATCTTAAAAAAATTGTAAGTAAAAAATGATTTTGAAGCATTATTTAACCATTGATTTAATTTTTATATTGATTAATATTATTATTTATTTATAATTCATCACAAATAATAAAATAAATAGTAAAGCTTTTAAAAACAGAACTATATTTATGTTATTCAAAACAATAATCAAAAAATGACACATGATTTAATAATATATGGTAAACTAATTTAAAAGATCTTTAAAGTTTAACAACTTAAGTTTTAAAATTCACATAAATAAAAAAAACACTTACTGAAAAAATTATATAAAAACTATGTTTTACTGGCTTCTTCTGCAAAATTCGAACTGATAGACATGACATCATTACTGGTGCTTGTCCGAAGTGTTTTCCAGTTTTTTACGATCTGCAGCATATTTTCAATGGTTCATCATTTCTATTGGTACTTCTGAGCTGGTAGCATCAGAAAGACATTTAATACTGCTTCTAAGATAATTAATTATACAAAAAAAGTATTAGGATGCAGTATTAAGATAGATTAGTATAATATATTGGGCAGACGTGTATTTCAGGCACCCTTCATTACTAAGTCTGTAAAAAAGTCTTATATGAAAAAAATATTGTTGAAAACCATACCCTAACCAAACATGACTCTTAGGATTAGGCTCAGCGTTTGATTAGGGCATGGCTTTCAATAAAATAAACTTTATTGTTGGCTTCAGGATAAAAGTATAATTTTCAATAAATGTTATATGGTAAACATGACTTGTTTTTTACGAACTTTTTAAAGGGGGTGTCTAAAATAAACGTCTGCTAGATATTGTAACAGCAATAATGCTATTTAGGAAAATGTTATTTAAAAAAAAAAACATCCTATAAACAAACTCACTATTTATTACATTATACAACAAAGTTTTTTCAAACATAAGCTTTCCTTTTAAACCAATCATGCTGAATTTCGTCTGAAACTCATTTGACATCAATCTTAGATGAAAATAAATAAAACAACTAAAAGATATCATTTAGTAATTTATGCTGTTTCTAACTTAATAGTAATATGAAGTAAATGTAACATATAAAAATCAAATTTTGAAAATACAAAAATTACCTTTGGATTAGGTCCTTAACCATACATTTAGGTTTCCACCAACACGTAAGAGTTGTTTAACCTTAAATAGAAAAAAATGTCAGCCTAATTGAAATATTTCAGATAAAAAATTTTATATAAGTGTAATAAATTTTTAAACAATTTAATTAGTTAATAATACTTAAGTTATAGTAATGCTACAACCTTAATGGTTTAAAAATAAATGAGTTATAAACAAGGTGACATTAGTTGCAAAAGCAATTGATTAATAATCATTTTATTGTCTTTTTTTCTCTAAATTGCTTTTAAAAATATTAAAATATAACTCACAAATTCTTGTGCAAAACTATTATCATGCATTTTAAGTTCAAATTCATTCAAATCTTCTACTGTCAAGAATTGAGTTGGAATTCCCACACTTAAATGTACTTTTGGATTGACATTGTAAACATGTTTTAAGTTCACACAGTAACTCGATGACTTCATACTGGAATTCTACACACAAAAATAAAAGAAAAAAAACAAAAGTATAATTTATTAAACTACAGGGTAAATTTTTATAAAAATTTATCTTTAATTGTAATACTTTTTAAATATAATATGCCTCCATAAAATAATTATAATAACTGACTTATATAAAAAATAAAATAAAAATATATTTTTTCAGTATGTATAAATACTGAAAAAAAAATCTACACACTTTGATCACCCATTGCAAAGTTATTTCTGTTAATAGCCAGAGTAAAATGTTCTTTACTTTTTGGTAATCCACAAGAGAGTTCACTCTGTGTTTCAATTTTCTCTGATTGTAAAAGAGAACAATAATCTTCTTTTACTTTTACTCTGAGGAAATAGTGATCGAGGAAATAGTGATCTGGAAGATCGAGAGCGTGATTTCCTTGAATTATGGAATTTTGATGAACTTTGAAAACTAAATACTGACTGGGTAGGTTGATTCAAATCAATATTTATTTTATTCTGACTAGCTTCTTGTGAAAGATTTAGGTTTTCGCTTTCTGATTCTGAAGGAAATGCTTTTTTATTTCTAAAACCTAATTTGATTTCATGCTTTGGAGGAAGCGTACTGCAAACTGTTAAAAAAAAAAAATTAAAAAATAAATAATACAATTAAAAAAAAAATTGATTTAAAAAAATTAACTCAAAAAAATTAATTCCAAAAAATAATTAAATAAACAAAAAAATTTAAAAAATAAATATCAGAATACTATATAAATTAATATGCAAACACAAAAAATTACTTTTTACCTTTTTTTGCAACTTGAGACATTTTTTTTCAAAACAAAATCACGAGAGTCAGTATCAGTTGTAATATTATATGAATGGCAAGTCATAAAATCTTTATCAGTTAATTTAATTTTGAGAACTTGAAATTTAAACCAATCATCTTGAGGTTCAACCTGGTCCCTTAACTTTTTTTCAGCCCCTTTTTTTGGCCATCTCAAAACTTTACCATTAATCCAACTTAAAGGAACAGTGTCAGAGTAAACTTTTTCTTCTTCAAGCCACTTTACACGACACCATTCAGACATAATAGCACACTACATAATGGTAAAACAAAAAAAATAAATAAATTTTTTCAGAATAATATCAATAAAAAAATAATTTTAAACTACAATCATATTTATATCAGTAAAGTTAAAAAAATGAATAATTTAAAATTATTTATGGATATGAAGTTTTGTAATAAATTATTGTATAGAAAAAACAAAATATTATCTTTACAAAGATTTATTAATCTAAATAATGTTATAATGTACTTTTTATGAAATTATTTATAATGTAAAAGAGAAAACATCAATGTTGAAAATACAAACGCTATGATTTTGTTTTCTTTGTCCAGCAAGTTATAAAAAAGTAAAATGCTAATCTTCAAATAAAAAATACCACTATATACGTATATGTACATATATTAATAGACACACATTATGTCTGAATTATAAGGAAGATAATTACCTTGTCTGGAACTAATTCCACAAGGAACTTAAAGTAGCATAAAATTTCCATAAACAAATAAATAATTTATCATGTATTAACAAAATTGAACTAAAATGTCAAAGAAATAGTAAAAATATCAAATAAATACTCCATCTAACTAAAACAGTAACTCCAACTAACTAAAATATCAAATAATTTTATTTCTTGAAAAAAAGCCTAATTAAACTATTTATATACCCATTATTTTGTTATTTATTTGTTAATAAAAACTTATTGTTCTTTTTAATTCCTTGTGCACCAAGAAATAAAAATTTGAATTCTATTTTAAATCATCTCAGCCTAAGAACATTCTACATGCAGAATTTTCTGAGACTAAGTTGATTTAAATTAAATTTTTATTCAAAAATAAAATGTATATATATATATATATATATATATAATATATATATACATTTTATATATTATACATTATATATATATATATATATATATATATATATATATATATATATATATATATATATATATATATATATATATATATATATATATATATATATATATATATATATATATATATATATATATATATATGTATATATATATATATATATATATATATATATATATATATATATATATATATATATATATATATATATATAACGTCAGAAAAATGTTGTCAAAAATAAAACAACATCTGAACAGTGCTGGTTGTTTGAACAACCAGCATTGTTCAAACGTTGTTTTATTTTTGACATTGCAGATGTTAGTTGACAACATTTTTCTGACGTTTAACAAAATTAACATTTTGTTAAACATCAGAAAAACTGCAACTGCAAAGATTTTGTTAATTTTATTAACAAAATCTTTGCAGTTGGTCCAAATGCCTGTAATGTTCTGAACGTAAATGTAATACATAAAAATATAGTTGACAAAATATAAAAGTTACCTTTGCATATCTAAAAATTACCAAAAAAAATACCTAAAAAAGGAAAAAAATTATAAGGCACATTAAAATGTTTTACACATAACATCTTAAAACATGTTTTTTTTTTTTTACTGCACTAAGGACAACATTTAAAAAATCCATTCTTATTTAACAAACAGGTAGAAATGAAAAAGTAATTCTGATTGAATGATGGCAAAACCATAAGCACAAAAATATTTTTATGCAATTAATTTTTTAATTAAATAAAATTATTCAATAACAATTTAGTTATGCTGCACCCAACCTAAAACACTAAAAAATATTGATAAAATGATAAATAGGCTGGCATAAGTTGTAACAGCAAATAATTTACAGTCAATTAATTATCCAGCTTTTGTTTTTTATATCTTGTTAAACATATTAAAATATAACTCATAAACTTCAAATAATACATCAATTTGGTTATTAATTTTTGGGTTGACTTGTGTTAATTTCACACAACTTAATAACTTTGTACTGGAACTCTTAACACATAATAATAAATAACAAACAACAGTATTCAACAAAAAAATTTTTTTAACATTGCATGTAATTTATTGGAAAGGTTAAAATAAGCTCTTTGTTTTAAGTCTGAACTAAGAGAAATATGAGATTTTAATTGGTTCAAACCAATATTTATTTATCATGACTAAGTTCTGCTTTAGAACATAGGTGTTTTGTTACTTTTTCTGTATGATATGCTTTTCTTTTCCTAAAATAAGATTTAATTTTAGGTTTTCGAGTAAATACTTTGCCAAGTGCTGAAAAAAACTAATATCAAATTATTGAGTAAAAAATTGAAAAAACAAAATGAATACCTTAATATGTGGTAGTAGTGTAGAGGCAAAGTGCTTGCTTCATAAGTGAGAAGTTTGGAGATTGATCCCCAAATTATCCCTGGTAGTAAGGCTCTTAACTTATTTTACTGCTCAGTAGTCTTGTATGTCAAGGACTGTGTTTTGGAGTTGAGAGAGGGTTGCAACCAGGGTTGTGAAGTCGGAGTGGGAGAATCAGAGTTGTGAAATTTGTAGAAGAGTCACTAAACAAAATTGTGACTCCAACTTCAATAGTAAAACTTCTGGGTATTGCACATGCATATATAAAACATTTAACCTTTAAAGAATTTTTCATATATTTAGCACAAAAAAAAGTTTTATATTATCGCATATTATTTTTTCAGGAATTCAAAGAATTTTTCAAAAATTTTGCTTTGAATTTGTAGTTGGAGTCTTTCTCTGAAAGTTTTAACAATTGTAGTCAGAGTTGTTACTTTTTTTTTACAACTCCACACCCCTAGATGCAACAACAATCAAGCATCATTAACTTCTCAGAGACCTTCTCAGCCATGGGGAGGTAAATATCAATAAAAAATAAATCAATAAAAATAACCTAATATGTAAACAATTAAAAAACTAATTTTGACCTTTTTATGAAACTTGAGACTTAAAATCTTGCAAGTCAGTATCAGTTAAAATATTATAGGAGTAGCATGTGATAAAGCTTTTATCAGTAAATTTAACTTAAGAATCACTTTACTTTTTTTTCCGTTCCTTTTTTTGGCCACATCAAAATTTTCTTTTTGACTCAACCTCAAGAAATGATGTCAAAGGAGACCTTGTCTTGCACAAGCTACTTTAAATGACACCATTTAGATATAATAGCAATTCATTATAAGGTACCAAAGAAAAAATAAATTAATTTTTTCAAAATTAAACCAATAAAAGTTAATTTTAAATTGATTATAAATCTGTATCAGTTTACTTCAAAAAAATGAAAAATTTAAGTTTAATATAACTATTTATTATATAACTATGTATTTTTTTCAAAAAATAAAATAATCTTTAAATAGCTTAATAAATGTATTTACTAAAAGCATTTTTTAATGTTTAAGAAAAAAAAACAAAAGTGATAACAATACTAATTCTATAATCTTGTTTTTTTTTTTTTTTTTTTTTTTTGCTTTTTATAACAAGTTAGAAAAAAAAACAACTAATCTTTATATAAAAAAATACTACTATAAAAATTCATACAAGAAGCACATTAAACAAGTTATAAGAATGGTTATTAGGTAAGTTCTAGTCTCGAATTAATTCCACAAGAAGCAAAAAATAACATAAGATAATATATAAAACAGCTGAATGAAATGTCGTAAAAAATGAACTCTTTATTTCTATTGACATTTAATTAAACTAATAAGTAGTTTAATAATAGGTATTTAGAATACCATTATTGCATCAGTTATTTTTAAATTAAATATTATGTGTAATACTTTATATATCAGAAAATTTTACTATATAATGTTTAATATACAAAGGCATAACAAAAACGTTTTTGAATAGTTTTGAAAGTCAAATAAAGTTTTTGTAACTTTATTTTCTCATGACAATGTTTAAAAACTACATATATAATTCGACTAGAGAATATTAAATAATGTAATAAACATTAGTATTACAGATCATAATGCTTAAAAACCAGATTAAAGATAAAATTCTCTTCATTAACGGTTTTCCAACCATTTTAAAATGTGCAAGTTTTTTTTGTTTTTAGTTGTGTTTACGTTGCTTTGATGACAAAAGTAAAAACGTAAATAAAGCAACGTTGTTCCAAAGACGTTCTAACGTTAATCAGGCTAACGTTGGTTTAATGTTAAATAATCAACGTTGTTCCAACGTCGTTTTAATGTTAACATCTAAGACGTTATATGATAACGTTTTTCCGAAGTTGTTCCAACTTTTGTTAGACAACGTTAGAATAACACCGTTATGCCGACGTTGTAACATCGTTGGAATTTAGTTAACTCGCGTCGCGACCAAATTACAACAACGGCACGACGTCTTTTTCTTACTGGGGATACACGGCTGTTTCACTCAATATAAAAACGAGCGTGACGTCATGAGTTTATCAAAAAAAAAAGTATTTCCGCATAAAAAGTATAAAAATTCACAAACTTTAAATTAATAGTAACTTTTTTATATAAATGCTTTCATCTTGCATTTAAAAAAATATAAAAGATCTATCTTTCCTTGTTAAATAAATATTTACATTAATTGGTATAAAAATAAATATTGCCAAAATATTTTTAATAATTTAGAACCACTTTTCTAATTTTCGCATATTTTCCGCAAAACATGAGTTGGGCCAACTAAGATTTCATAACATAGCTCAGTGTTTGATAGTTGAAATTTGGAATGCTTAACCCTAAATGCCCATTCTATCAGATTCCTGCGTCATCCTAGAGATTTTTTTACAAAAAGACTCTTTTTAAAGCATTTATATTTTTTAATTAATCGTTTTTAAATGCAAAACATAAATTTTTTGATGGATGACGTAAGTTAATGAAATTTCAACCTTTTATGCAAATGAAAATAAAAAAATTATTTTACTTGCCTTCAGCTATGTTATGAAATATGTTTTCAAAAATGTCATGTTTTACAACTAATCTTGTTAGTTTTAGGCGTACATTTGTGTTGACGTTTTTTTTGCGATGACGTAACCTTTATGCGTTACGTCCCAAACTATTTATTAACAAATATTCTCCAAACAACTGTTTCGGCGAGTCAATTTTTGAAGTATAAAGTAAACAAAGTTACGCGGAATTTTTCTCTTTGGATTATCAAACTAATATCAGATAAGTTGTTAAATCCACTTTTATCTTGTGCATATATTTGTTAATTAATATTATTTTATTTGTTTTTATTATATTGATTAATAAGTCAATATTATT